GATAATCAAAGATCTAGTGTCCAACTCAAATTATCTATAATTTTCATTTGTTTATTTCATTTCGTCCTGACCCCTAAACATTCTAAACATATTAATATTTACKAATATAATTTASTTTTCRYCAGAATTACAATTTAAATATCAAATTGTATCAAAATTTTACGCATGACGGATATAGCCGTCAAACACACTTAACTGGTTAATGTTCAAATGTAATCCTTTAAATATCTCGAAACAAAAGATATATGATTTAAACCACTTTTATAATTATGGGCACATGTATCTTTTTTATCTCTCCGATATAAAACTGATATTTAACATTATTAAAACTAACGTAAAATGACATCGAAAAGTATATATAATTCTAATGATAAATATTAAAATGAAAAAAAAAATACTATGTGGAACCCTTGAGGACCAATCCTTCTTTATTCTCTGTATCGTTAAGATTTATAAGATAGTATACGTTCATAGTGTTTATGTTTATGTGTGTGTGTATGTGTATGTGTATTAGTAATAAGAGGTAATAACATCAGATCCGCTCAGGTATAAAACAAGGAAATGATCAGCGATAGTTTTTCTCTTTGTCGAATAAACGTATTGTTAAATTGAGTACGAATGCAAATGTAACTTTCTCAAAATATGTGTAAGAGTGGGGGAAATGATAATTCTACGAAAGAGAGAACCATAAGAGAGAAAAAGATGCGAGTGTCGAAAAAAGAATAAAGTAAGAGTAATACATTTTTAGGTAAAAATGAATGAAGATTCAATTATTAGATAACACGCGACACTTCACATTATTATTTAATTACTAGATTTACGGATATTTTTGTATATATATATTTTTACAAACACCTATCAAATTGATGGGTAATGGAAGATACGTATTTTGGGATATACATTATATAAAATTTAAAAAATTAGAGAAAACCGAAGGGGTTATAAAAATCAACAAAAATTGCTGAAAAATAAGATTAATGATTTTTATAAGTTTGCACATGTGAAATCCGAATTCGTCAAATTGATACGGATTTTATAATCTTATTATTAGTATTAAAATCCTTAATCTTAGATAAATTGTTTATAAATATCAGAAGTAGGATTAAATGCTTACATTCGTAAACTAAAAAATGATAAAAGTGTAGCGAAAAATTGTTTTTTTTTTACTATACAAAAATTTCTTCACTCGAACAGTTATGCTTTCCTATTAATTCGGATACTGGAAATTCTACTTCATATATCTTTGTAAATCTGTTGTAACTGAGACAATCATTTTAATTAAGATGTAAATATTAGTTTATTCGATAATTGTATAGAGGTATTCGTGTATGTGTGTGTGTGTGTTTGTATATGTTTGTGCGCGTGTATTCATAACTTTTGAATATTGTAAATAAATGTGTCTATGATAAAATGTTCATAGAAACAATAGTATTGATCATGCTCGATGGGATTTTTCTCGTGTGTAGAAAAATCAATTATCGTAAAAATAACATGTTATGTTGTAGTAATTGTGCTTTTATTTGAAATAAAAAAAAATAAATAAATGAAAAAAGAAATAAACCTACTAAAAATTAATTTGTCAATTATCGTGTTAATGTAACAATTGTACTTTTATCCTAAGAACAAAAATAAATAAAATAAATAATTTAATTATATGCAATTTCAATTTACTTTTGTTTTATTTTTTTACCAAATTCGTTACTATTTTATAGGATATAATTTTATTATAGAAGTTCATAGATACACTAGTGTTCCCAGAGCATCGCAATATGAGTTTCATGATTCAAGTAAATCACAATTTCAAAATGAGAGCATACTTGCTGCGGTTAACGTTTTGATTAATTACAAAATTATATCGAAATGTAACACGAATAAAGAAATGTAGATAAAGAACTATGTTATCTCGTTTTTCAATAAATATCGGAACCCTCTTACTATTCTAGCATAAAACAGAACTAATATATTGCATGTAATTTCTCTTTTCTTATTTCGTCTTTAAGATTTTTCATTTTTATCGTATTTTTATAAATTTTCAATTTTTCTTTTCTATATAATGCAGTTTAAAAGTAGTTCACATAATAATTAATAGATATTATTCTTTTTAGTAACTTAGTATTTGTACTTTTCCTATTTCTTTTTTTTTATATATTTTATGTAAATGTAAAATCACGCGTTTAAATTTTATTTTCATTGCATCGGTTATTAGAGATTTGATAAAAATAAATAGAGAATTCAATTGAAAAGTACATCTGCGAATTGGACGATTTATATGTCAAGCCATTGTATCACTTGATTGTATGATTAATATAGTTTTCTTCTTATTACAGGTGATCATCGTTGGATTTAACAATAAACCTCTCAGATTTTCTTCTATTTGAACGCCTTAAATGACTACTTTTTAAAATATATTTATAAATGCATTTCTGAAGGCGCACACATGTTTATACGCTAAAAATTAAATATAATTATTTGAAATTCTATTATAATATAACTATACTATATATACTATCAAATAATATATCATGTATTATTAAAGAATATTGTATTCTTCGATAGTATTGTACTGTCATCGCGTTCAGTATTTACTTTTGCCCACTGGTGGTCCCGGTAGTAGTAACTAAGATAAAACTAGGTAGATAAGACAGGGGACTTTTGTGCTTTTATGTACTTCTGTATTTTTTGCTAAGGTCTTAAAATCCAAGAACTGTTCAGCAATGGACAATCTAAATTTGAGATGTCAATGGTCAAACACACTATTGAACATATTAACTTAACACTAAAACCTTTCTCAAGAAAGCAGGATACGCAAACTATCGGTAAAACTCAAAACCAAAGCGGAAATACTTACAGATAATTATAAGAAAATATTTTTACCCAGTCCAAAAGTTGTAGTTGATGAAACTATCCTATCGTTCCTTAGAAGGAATATTTTATTTTATTTTATTATTCTATTTTATTATTAGTATATATATTGTCAACTTTACAGTTTATTATTACTTTATATCGTTTATACTTTCATTCTAATAGTATTACAAAAATAAAATTATTATAAATTACCTCCAAAATTTTGTTTTAATTGAACAAAGAAAAGTGCAACCTGTATACGGATAAAAAAGCCATCACCTAGATATATGTTACTTGATGTTAAACGTGTTAACAAAATAAAAGAATTAATGTTTTATATCAAAAACTATAAAATACTCATAGTTTAAAAATTATTATCGCGCATTTTTATTGGCAAACTCTTAATCCATACATCAAAATAGATGAAATATGTAAGTTTGATAAAAATCTAAAATAAGAAGTATTTTTTGAATATATTTACTCAAAATTGATCTGAAGATAGTAATATAAATATTATAGAAAAAGGATTCTTATTATATTTTAGAATGTGAAAATTTTATTCAAATAGAAATGAGTAATAGAAATAACTTCTTTGTTTCATATACTTTAATAGATATAGTCTGCACACAAAAACAATGATATATTAACCCTTATCCAAGCGCATGTTCCACAATCAATTATACATTTGCAACCACGCTTGAGTAAGCTAAACTTTGCTAGCCATCAGTATTGCTAATGTAAATGAGAGATCACCCCGAGCAGTTGGCTAAGTGTTAATGCAACAGTTTTTCATATGTTGATATCTTTAGAAAAAGTAAATGATGCCAAGATATTTTGTTTGATATATCTTTATTAATATGTAATCATTTATGGAGCTTTTCCACGTCCAAAACCACCACGGAACTCTAAATCACCAGTTCCTGCACCAACATCAGTTTTCTTATCGCCAGGTCCAGGAAGACCTCCAGGTCCTCTCCTGTATCCAGCGCGGTCTTCTGTTGGTCTAGAAGCTTCGCTTCTTGGTCCTGCTGCAGGCCTAGGTCTTGAAGTTTCAGACCTTACTTGCCTCTTAAGTGTTGAAGGAACAATCTCTGGTGGTAAATGCAAGAATCCACGCAGATATTCGATTCCCTCATTTGTCAAATACCAATAGAAATGACGCCACGCAAATTGCTCTTTAACGTACCCTCTGGATTTAAGGGACTGAAAAATTATAAAAAAAATTGTTAGTAACATTCGCTACAAGTATTACGCATATGTGAATTAATAATTTCGATTGAGAGTCTAGCATCAAACATTTGTTACGATAACTAAAGCAAAATAAATTCTAGACTGTGATTAAAATTTTTTCGCTGTGGCACAATAGCAAACATGTCAACAAAAATTTATATGTTTATCAATTCAATGTAAATAATAGTCAATTTAGTACTAAATTAATTAAATTAGTTAAATTCATTTCAATTAAAATATATTCTCTTTTATTATGACTGTATGAAAACTCTAGTTTATCAGTTATGTCAAATGGATCATCATTTTTTCCATATTATTTTCAATTTCAAAAAATTCCTGTCCATTAAAATCTAAACACTTTTCATATATGTTATTTATTTTTTCTGCTATAATATTATATTTTTTGAATTCTTTAAAATTTTTAGAATAAATATTTGCTATGGAATAATAAACTAAATACGAAATACAAAATCATCGTGTCAAAGTACTCTTAGTTAACATTTTCTTTTTTCGAATTAGCTCCTATAACTTGAAGTGCAAAAAAATTGCTCTGAAACTTTCATACTGCGATGCTCTCTTTTATAGTTTTAAGATCATAATGCCCCCCCCCCCTAATTATATGGTTTCCTTATATTTTTGCAATAAAAGATAGAGTTTCCTTCAGATAATGTAATAAAAAGTCTTATTCTGCTTTCAGTTGATCATACCATATTTAAATAAGCTTTCTTTTGTATCGACTGCATAATCTTAGAAAAGTAATTATTATAAATTTTTTGAGCATGATAGACACAACAGGCTACATACAGAGTATCATTCAATAATTGTTAATACAAACAAGAATAGGATGATTCTACACAGAAAACTGAATTGAAAATGTAGAATAAAATTGTTTCATATAAAGATTTGTTTTCGAGAAAAATAAGTTAGAAAATTTGTATATTTCTTGAAACAAAGAAAATAACAGAAGTATATATTCAAAAACTCATTGTATGCATGCATATTTTATAAAATAAAAATGTAAGAATAAATAATGCATATTTTAAAAAACCCATAAATATAAATTATGATTCGATAATGTTGTATGTAGGAAATTGTATGCATAAGTTTGAAAACAATTAAGTCATTGCTCAATAACAATGCATGCAGCTATGCGCATTCAAATCATAATGCAAGAAGTTTAATTTGACTAGTGATAGTACATATAGTGTTAAAATGCAAGTTCGCTCAATGATAATTTCTAATGAAATTAAATGCAGCAATATACATTACCTGCATTGCTTTAATAACTTGTAAATTTGGAATTAATTCCAATTCAGGATGCTTTGGAGCATGGTAATCCTTTTTGGCTACCATGACACCTTCCTTGAAAAGGTACTCGTATATAGCAACACGGTTCTTTTTTGGCATCAACATCCTAAAAATAATTACAATATTAAATTTGACATTGTTATTAATAAAAATTAAGATATTACAAATCGTGTATAATATCAATGATATATGAGTTTGCTAGTTCATTATTTTAAGGAATTAACAGATGGCTATGTTTAATACCAAACATATCTGATAAATAATAAGAAAATAACTGATAAAACTACACGTGTTAAATAAGCCAAACATTAAAATATTTGTATTTCTATCAAAAACACGTTACAGATAATATTTTAGTAATTATAAAAGATCATTAATATTTAATCGAAAAATCTCCATTTCTCCAATTTTATAACCTAAAATATAGTCACATGTCTGAATCGAAAAACTTCGATATTGTAAAAAATACTGCATCTCTAACAAAGTATATAAGCCAATATTATTAAATATGTTTAATAAATTTAATTAATTACTAAAATTCGAATATAATGATAATGATATAATAAATATTAGAATAAAGATTAAACGTACTTGTAGCCTTCTTATAGATCTCCTTCCGAAAAGAATGGGGCTTGAAATATAGGAATATATATGTAGTAGTAATATGATGCTTATCCTCGAAGCGGAAATGACATATGGAAAATTACATTTCCGTTATGCATAAAGCATTGTACACAGGTAGTCAAATATTCGAGTAGTAGATGGCGCGACAATTGACAAACATTTAATTGGATATTCTTATCGCAGGCTTTTTTTTTTAATTACACAAAGGAAAGATAAACGATCAGATAAATAATTACGGATGCTGTTTCAATTTTTTAACCACTCTGTGTAATTTTAAAACCTGTAAGGTTTAAAAATTAGAGAGAAAGAGAGTGAGGCTACGTTTAGTTTAAACACCATAACGTGGCATTGCTGATTCTTTTGATTGATCCTATTGGTCGCCGTTTGGACAACTTCATTGCTTGTCCTGCACTCTAATGGCTATGTAGTGTACTAACGGTACTCTTAGCACCGACTATTTTGTTAAACCTAAACCATATCTATACTTATCGACATGCTTCATAAAAAAAATATTTTAGATTTATAAAACTCTTATCCTTTACAAATATAATATTATTTTATCTACTTGTATAAAAGATTATAATTTTATCTAATAAATAATCTAATTGTAAGATAGATTTTAATAAGTATTTATATAATAAAATATATAAATAGTATATGTACAATAAAATATATTAGAGGTTATATGGATACTTTAATTTGTTTTCTTTTTACCGATGCAATTCTACGACGATTTATAATAGATTTCCATATTGTTAGTTCGTTGTTTTACAGAATGAAAATGAAGTGGACAAGAAGCGTATTAGATTAATTCTGATTGGTTAAAAATGGCTCATACATCATAGTATTTCCAGACTGATGTCATTAGCTGATCATTCCAGGTAATGTATTTGAAGTTAGGTTTTGTGTAAATGAAATTTAATATTTTATGTGTTTAGCAATATTATATTGTAAATAATGGAAGAAGAAAAAACAAAGTATAAAAAGGAAGTAGAAGAGGAAGAAGAAGAAGAAGAAGAAGATGAAGAAGAAGAAAGAGAATTTTATTTTGAATCTGATCATTTGGCATTAAAGGGTAACAAAAATTATACTTCCCTTCTAAAAACCATTGTGATATTGGAAGCGCAAAGGACGCAGGCTATTGAAGATTTGGATAAACTTTATGATGCACGTTCTAAAGCTATGAAGGATCCGATATCTTTTGTAGCACAATTACAGAGTGGTGATTTACCAGAATTGCCAAGACCGCAGAAGATTGCTGATATTCCTTATATTGATTGGGCACAGTATAATATAGCAATGTCTGATACACGCATGAGACCACAAACAAGACATGGAAATGTAATACCACAAACACAAATTAAGACCGAACAAGAAAATAGAAAGGTTATTATTTATTTAATAAACTTATCTTATTATTTGCTCTTTAAATCATTTTGTGATACAATTTTATTTGTTACTTTTAGATTTTGGTAAGAGGACGTGCTTTCGATGAAAGTAAACCGGAAACTTTTAATCAATTATGGACTATAGAGGAACAAAGACGTTTAGAAGAATTGTTGATAGAATATCCACCTGAAGAAGTTGAGATGAGACGATGGACTAAAATCGCTAATGCTTTAGGTTTCTCAATAATTAATTATATACATGTTTCTTTTTACGGTTCATGTTTATGAAGTATTTTAATTTTGTTTCTATCTATAGGTAATCGTACTCCAAAACAAGTATCTAGTAGAGTACAAAAGTATTTTATCAAATTATTACGAGCTGGTTTGCCAATACCGGGGAGAGGACCGAAAGTGAAATTCGATGTTAAGAAAGGTTTAAATCATCGTCATCAAAGACAAAACTTCATGTTATTCAAACGTTCAACTTTTTTTCCTCATCAAGATTTGTCATTTATTACAAATGATGACAGTAAAGAACATCCAATTACAGAAGAGCCTGTTTGTATTCGATTACTACAAGATATTTTTATTTTATCTTAAGTTTTGATATCTTTTATTTTAAAATTGTAATATTTTTGTTATAGGAGGATGATATAGGAAATATTTGCACAAATGATAATCCTGAATTGAGACAGATAGAATTAATAAGACAAGTTAAGGCAGAAAAAGAACAAGAGTCATATCCTGTCTATAAACACGTTGGATATAAAGTAAATAAACTTTCTTTCGTAAAAATATTTATTTAAATTGTATCTAAATTTCAATTTTGATTTTAGTGTATGGTATGCAGAGAGGAACCTTTAAAAGGTACAAGGTGGCATTGTTTGCAATGTCGAACTGGTGTTGATTTATGTGGTGATTGTGCTGTTGCTCAAATAGGATCTGAAAATCCTATGCATGATCCATCACATAAATTAATTCCTGTTAAACCACCTCAGTATAGTCAAAGCTACGACTTAGATTATTTTCCACAAAATTTTAATAATACTTCTTACAATTATCTTGATCCTAATTTTTTACCTGAATAACAAGATAGTAGTAGGTAATATAAATTTTTGTAGCATAGAAAAAATCAGTACTAAACTATTATGCATAAAATGTAAAATAATTTATTAAAATAATTTTAAGTACAAGTTAGGAATCTTCTTTCGAAAACTTGAAATTAATTTTTTCTCTAAATTGATTTAATTTGTCGTCCTTTATACTTTGTCGTATTGCTTTGAAGAATTCTATGTAGTGATGCATATTATGTCTAAAAGGATTGAAAATTAACATTTGAGAAATCATATTAATTAAATGAAAACATTATTTTTATGAGTACAATACGTACATCATTAATAATACCATTCCTAATAATTCTTTGGTAATGTGTAAATGATGCAAATATGCTCTAGTATGATTTTTACATGTCAAGCATTCACAATGTTCACATATTGGAGAGAAATCATCTTTATAACTGTTGGAATAAAAAAATATTTAATAGAAAAATTATATCAGGTTTATATTTTTCTTAGTCATAAAATTTACCTTTTTTCACTGATTTTCAATACATGACTTGTATTTTTGCAACTATCATGATCACAAAGAAATGTTAAAGCTTCTGAACATTCAGTAATTATGTAAGGATATGACGAGTCAAAAATATCAATACCTAAATTAATTAATTCTAATGTTACCAATGGATTCCAGCATCCTAAGGATACGCGTAGTTTATCTGCAGGTAATAAGTTCTAAAGAAAATAAGTACTATTATTTAAATTTTAAATAAAACATTATGGCGAACTAAAAAGGATCAAAATTATAATCGTACAAGTCTGACTTACAATTGTATGTTCTATCACATTTCTAATTTGTTTCCATTGAATATCTTTAACACCTGGTCCGTTTTGGTGTAAACCATCTATCACAAATCCAGCTATTGGTTTGTCTTTTAAATACTCAATCGAGTCTTTCCTAATTTGTAAATCATAGCCACCTTCAACAGCTCCTAATATACTTTTGGATTTCAATTTATTAGAAGCTGCGTGTCTCCTTAAACATTGTTCTGTTAAGATCTTACTTCTACCCATGGCTTTCAATATGCGTTTCTCTGAATCATGTTTATTTCCATCACAGAGTGCGACATAAAGATCAGGTTCAAATGATTCTACCAAGTCCATATATTTATCGGCAGTAAATAAACTTTTTCCTTCTCTAGACCATACAGATATACTATTAGCTTGTTGAAATTCTAATGGAGTTGTTTCAGTAGGATCTTGTATCGACAAAAAGTTAATGTATTCCTAAAATAAAAATTATTAAGAACTTAACTTTTTTGATATGGTTGTCGGTCACAAGATGACATATGTCTTAAAGTACTCAGATTTTGAAAATTGTAAATCAATTGAAAATATCAATAGGTGACCATAATCACTGATAAGATATACATATTGTGTACAACATTATTGTACATGACTATAGTTACCATTAGTACACTGCGAGCATGAAACTATGGGTGACTACAACCACATCAATAAGTTTAAAGAATAATAATAACAGTTTATGAATTATTCGATATCGCATACCTTCATACTAACAAACTCTGCGAAAGAAATATTCAACTTCTTAATACTTTCTTCCATTTTTAAAGTAGATGGAAGTGAAATAGATAACAAATGCTGTTGTTTTGTAACAGTTTTAAATACATCTTTGGTTAAATGCGGAACGCTGCCTCTCTGAAAATAATACAAATTTATCTAATGTTATAATAACAGTTTTCATTTTATTATTTAATTTGTAAATGAAAATGTTTATAATACCTTTGTATACATTAGAAGAAGTGGTGTTTCAAAAATAGCATTAGGTAATCTTTCAAACTCTTTTAGTGTACCAATACGTGGGGCACAATAAGTTAATGAATCAAGAATGAATTTCATTTTGATTATAAATTAATTATAATATTATATACACAAAAATTGTACTTAAATATTGTATGTAAAACTTATTTGTTTAGTTTAATTTAAATTGACTTGTTTTATTGAAAGTATAATATTGTTTACATAGCTATAAATTATCAAAAGGTTCTCTTCTTTTCAAGAGGTTCTGTTCCATTTCTAACGTCATAAAAGTACATAGCTACATTAGTTATCAACCAATCGGACGAAACTAATTCTGGAAAATTTAGCCAATGAGAAATGTATTATATTTGGCTTTCGTGATTGGTCAAATGCACTTGTCCGGCTTGAAATTCTCAGATCAGAAAGCTGATTGGTTACTTATTTTATTCAAAATTATTACACGAAATTTAAAATTGGTTATTTAAAGTTTTGTATTAAAATAGATATTATTATTAAATTAAATATTGATAGTTGTGTTATTGATAATAATTTGAATTTAGAAGAAGTAATTTTAGTGTTTGATATTGTTCAGTAGGTATTTATTTATTGTTAACAATATGAATTAACGATACAAAATGTTATTTAAAGCTAATGGCGTAAATTAATACATATTTCTAAGAGTTATTTAATAAAATAAGGTTTATGAGAAGAAATCATAGTGACGAATAATATAGTTTAGTACATAAATAATAGAAAATAATTAACATATAATTAAAAAAAGAAATGAATATAATACTTAATAATAATTATACAATCCTGAGAATAAACAATGAACTAACATAATAAAAATGTTATTTTTAAAAAGAATTGAAGTATAATAATTATTATAAAGTTTAAATACTTAAATTAAAAGGATCGTTTTGTTATATATTAAAAAATATAATATACTTATATATTAATATAGGAGTACAGTAAATGAATTTTATTCAAAATTGCATTTACTATATATCAAATTTTTTAAAGTTGTGCGGATCCACGCCATGCGGAATCAAAACCGCATGCCGTGTCGGAATCGGAGTCATTATTTTGTTGATTCGTAGGAATGGCAGAATTGACGGAAGACGTCGAAGTTGGCCGACGATTGGTGATCTGGTTTTGTCGGATCGTTGCTTTACCTTGAAGTAATGGGGTATTGGGTTGACTTGTAGTTTGCTGTTGACCCCTTGAAAAATCCTGGTTTCTTCTACTTCTCCGTTTTTTAACTGGCGCATATTTTGGCGGTGGCATTACCTTTTGATCTAATTTCTATGAGAAAAGAAAAATAAAATGAATAAGGATTTAAATATTATATATTTTTAGTATTTCATTTTGTATTTTGGTATTCCGTTATTTGTATTATTATTTTTTTTTTGTATTTTATTATCTTCTTTTTTTTATATACTTTAAATATTTTATATTTGCATTGTTCTTATTAAAATTATTAAATAATTGGTACAATTAAATAAATAAAAACTTAGATTTACCTGTACGTTATCCGCTGAACCCCATGACTTATGAATCTTCTCGCTATTGTTGTTACTGTTGCTGCTACTAGTTGCCACACCCAGAAATTGGCTGAATGCTTCCGTCGTACGTTTCACGCGTACGTTCAACGAGCCAATTCGTAGGAAACCAAGATCTTTCTCTGTGTGTTTAATTAATCATTTTATTATCGTGAGCGTATTCGTATAATTAGCTATCATTAAATCAATTAAAATTAATCTGATCAAAAACACTGCATCACACAATAAACAATAGCATATACTTATATAAATTTCTATTTTTGTCGGAAAAATTTCTTCTTTTTGAGATTAAAGAGTTGTAACACATATATAACTTAAATAAAATATATAAAAACATAATATAGTTTTGTTTTTTTTTTTTTTTGAAACAATATATCGATAATGAGATATATCAATAAATAATCTATGCAAAAGTAAATATAAAATCATTAGATAATCAATTTGGTTGATTTAAAAAAAATTTTATCATGCTCCCCTTACCTGCATGCTTTTTCCTTGCTTTTATTTCTGAAATAAAATATTAAATTATTACAAAAAATAATGTCCATCTATATTCGCCGCTTTTAAAACGCGGCTTCAACTAAGCTTTTGCCGATGTTATAATAAAAAGCAAGAGAAGAAATAGAGAGAAAGAAAGAGAACAAAAAAAAAAAAATAGACAAACGTGATTTTAATCAAGCGATCATTCTAGTCAAAAATTATGGAAACATCAATTTTTATATGTGCATATTTTAATTGTGTTATATATATATATATATATATTTATATTTTAACCAATTAGCTATGAGAATTTATTTGAAAAATGTATACTTAAATTGTGTCATTAAANTATATATATATATATATATATATTTATATTTTAACCAATTAGCTATGAGAATTTATTTGAAAAATGTATACTTAAATTGTGTCATTAAAAATGAACCAATAACGAGTTGTTTATATTAAAAAAAAAAAACAAAAAAATTCTTACTTTTGCATTACTTTGACCAGAATGATCCCTTAAAAATGATGATAGAAAAGTTTTAGTTATTTAAAAGAAAAACATTATTATTATTATTATTATTAATTATTGTATTCGTTAAGTTATATAATGAGAGGCTCGATCACAGCATTTATTTGCAGATTTTAACGCGACATTCGATTAATATATAATAGCGCGCGATTATAATTATTTTAAATGAAAATTAATGATCGTACACAAGTATCGTTCGTTTGAAACAAACAAAATTAGCTTTCCATAGTAAATGTCGATCATAATTTAAGCGTTATGTGAGTTATGCGAATGGGAAGGTTTTATTGGATAAAAAAGAGGATAAGATAAACAAAATAAGATTAATTTCTTAGTTAGTTGACATGTTCTATAAATAATTATTCGTATCATTAAATTAACATTTGATAGTTAATATTGTTATCTTGAAAATTAGTATGATGCAAAAGATAAGGTAGTAAGTAGTAGTAATAGTAGTAGTTGTGGTGGTGGTAGTAATATAAATTTTCAGGTATTTTTTCTTTCATCTCATTTCATTGCATACTTCGTTGCACATGCTTTATTTTTAAAGTGTAACATCGACAACGGAAAAACGATAACGATTTTCGTGATTGAAGAAAAAAATAAAAAGAAGCGTCGAGGAGAAAAAAAATATATATTTTATAAAAATTGTGTACAAAGTTTGGAAGAGATGTGTGTTTTTTTTTTTCGTTTTTTATTAACAATAAGACAAAAATAATATTCCGTTATCGTTTTAAGTTGCTAGTTACAATTAATCCAATAACGTTATATTTTTTGTTTTTTTTTTTCGTGCAAAAGAGGTGATCTACTACTGCCACTTTTGCACATGTCGCATATTAACAGCAAAATAAAGCACTTTTGTCAAAGAATTACAACGCGACGATAATAATTAAACAAATAAATAAATAAATATACAAATTGTTTGATAAATAAATAAATATAAAAGCAACGAATGCTTCGCGTTAAACGGCGTAACATTGCACGAGAAAAATATGATTTTATCTTAAGAATTAATTCTAACCAGCATATATAACAAATGAAAATAAAAAATAAAAACAATAATAACAATAAGAAAGAAAAATTAATAGCGTAACATTATTAAGTTCGTTCATTCGTCGAGTCATTATTCAGATTCGTGTAAAAAGAGTCAATTAGAAAAACAAAACAAAAAAAAAAGGAAAAAATAAACAACAAGGAACAAAAAAACAAAAACGAAAAAACCCCGAGTGTGTACAAACGATTGGCGTTAGATTTTGCGAATGAAAGCCATAATATAAACAAATATCACGAATTAAGGGGGGGAGGAACAAAAAAAAATAAATTAATGAATAAAACGAATCGTGACGAGCATAAAGTTAGAAATTGATCGGTCCACAGTCATGAATCATAAAATCATGAAAAATATGTCAAGATTACGTTACCTATGATCACATTCAACCTTCTTATAACACGATATTAAAATTCCTACTAATCTATCTGTAAGACGATATTTTAATAATCCAACTTTTGAATAATACAAATTTAGGTAACTCTTTACTTACAAAAATTTCTTGAGGTAACCATTATTTAATACAAATATTTATATTAAATAACTTAGTTTTTGTTTAACACATAGTTTAAATGCAATGCGGAATAAGATTTGATTATGTTAGAAGAAGGATTGATCGTTGTTTATTATGATTCGCGAATAATGATTTTTGTTGTTGTTTTCAATGGATATTATAAAGTGGACCAAACAATTTCCAAAATACTCACGTTAGCGTGTAGATATAATACCGTTGGTACAATTGAACAGTCATACTTTACTTTTACGTGCGGTAAAATGAATCTTGCGACAGAAGCGCTTTACTATACTAGCAGAGGTGTGCTTCTGAACTTGCCTGAGCGTAGCAGCAGCAGTAATCCCTATAACAAAAGAATACATCCAGAACCCCGAGGAAATACTCACCGAACCGAGATCCCGCAACCTTTCACTTCGACGATCTCTTTAATATCTTAGTCTAAAGTGCGTTGAACGATATAGAGGATAGTCCTTCCGATTTCGCCGATCAATCTTCGTTTTTCTTAAAATTGTAAAAAACGGATACATAGGGGAATTCGAATTAGAAAAGAGAAACAACATTTTTCTTCCTTTCTATCTATCTTTCTTTCTTTCTTTCTATCTTACTTTCTTACTTTCTCTTTTCCTTAATCTTTTTTTTTTTTCTTATTCTTTTCTTTTTTCTCTATATTTTATTTTGTTCAAAAATTGTAGGACGTTGATTAGAATTCGGAGAAGTAGATGGGTTTACAAGCTAGGAAAATATATGTATATATATTTATAAACAAAATCAAACTCATATCAACGACGTGCAAAATTTTCTTTCCTTTTAAAAAAATCTATGATTACAATCAAATTGACAATAATTTCAAAAAAAAAAAAAATAATTGGAAAATTAAATTAATTTTCTCTTAAATTTAATTAAAAAATTAATAAAACATATCGTTCGTAAAGGGGATGCACAACGATCGATCGATTAATTTCTAAGAAATTTAAATAACAACAATAGAGGGGGAAAAAAAAAGAAAAAAAACAAAAAAAATAGTCGATTTTCAATCGATCGTTTTCCGCGAAAAGGTCAACAGATCAAGCTTGCAAGCAGGGTCATGCTAAAATTTGATTAAAGCTGGTGCCTTCGGACAGCAATAACGTGCAATAATAAATATAAACGCATTCACAAATACAATTAAGCAGTGCTAAATTTGGCTACAATAGGCACCGCTAATTATTATCTAATTAAATCGTTTATTTGTTTTTTCTTTTATTTTTATACTTTTTTACCACCGAATTAACAAAAAAAAATAATATACTAACTTAGTGGGGGGACTAATTAAAATTATTATTAAACGTGCATGTATTAAAATTTTTGTTTATGGTGCATGTGACAACAATCTAGAAAACCAAATTCTTATATTATACTTCACGTGCGATTTTCATGATACGTATTTCTTTTTTGTTTAGTTACTGCTAGAATAAACAAATTTATATCATTTTATTACTATTATTATTATTATTTAGTCATCCATGTCACTGTGTAAAATTATTTCATATGATAATAAGGATATTAGGATTATTAGGAAGATTATAGGAATTTTTTTTTAATCGGAATTTCCTGTGATCGATCGAACACAATTTTTCGGTATTATTTAATTCGTATTGTTTTTTTTTTCTTTTCTTTTTTTTTTCTAAACGATTAATCGATGTTAAAAATAATTAAAATGAAAAAAAAGAAAAAAAAAAAAAAATGAACGAATTATTTTTAGAGATATTATATTCGAGTCGTTTTAAAAAGGCAGCGGTGAAACTTAGATTTGGTCGGTAAAATTGAATTTGTATTCGAAAGCGTTTCAACGAACAACAACAACAACAACAAAATTTTTACTTACTGCGGAAGGTGTCCTGGCTAACTGCGGCCTCTTGAGAAACTAAATACTGTCTTGCTTTCTTACCACTGTAATCACGTATCTCTTGATTCGCACCTGAAGTATAAACGTTGTGAAATGTTTCTTATAATTTCGAAATCATTAGAATGTGTTGTACAATCAATTGGATATATAACTTACCGTATACTTGTACTAGCAAGTTGAAAACGTTTTCATGATCGAATTGCATAGCAATGTGCAATGGCGTATAACCCTGAAAAAAGAAAAAAGACAATTTTATATTTTTATTTTAATTATTTAATAGAATTAATAAATATCATGTTTTAAGATAGAAACGTGCAAAAATTTATTTATTTACTTTTTTTTTTGTTATTAACTAACGTAATGATTCGTGTAATATATTAGATACTTTGGAAAGTAATTTTGTTTTTCGTATAACGATTACGTTAATCACGTTTATTGTTATCAAATTATTAACCCTTTGGCCTATAACCACGAGTCAGACTCGTGGTGAAAAATTTGTGCCATAAGCGAAAACCACGAGTCTAACTCGTGGTAAAGAATTTGTG